AAGTTGAACCTTCATCCAGCAACTGATGGAAACAGAGGCAGAGACCTGCATTGGAGCACTGGGCTGAGCTCCCAAAGTCCAGATTAATAGTGGGAAGAGTGAGAATAAGAGCAAAGAGGTCAAGACCATGATGGGGACACCCACTGAAACAGCTTACTTAAGGTAATGGGAGATCACCAACTCCAGCTGGACAGGGAAGGAAACAGCATAGGACCAAACTAGTCCCTCTGAATGTGGGTTACAGTTGTATGACTGGGGCAGACTGAGGGGCCACTGGCAGTGGCACCAGAATTTATCCCTTCTGCTTGTAGTGGCTTTTGGGGAACCTATTCTCTTTGGATATATAACTTGCTCAGCCTAGACACAGCATGGGGGACCTTCGACTTTCCCCGAAGCAACGTGCCTTACCCTCTCTGAGAAGTGGAAGGGGATGGAATGGGGGGTTTAGGTGGAGGGAAGAGGAGGAGGGGAGGGAACGGGAACTGTGATTGGGATATAAAATAAAAAAGATTGCTTTCTTTTAAAATAAATAAATGTCTAAATAAATAAATTTAAGAAATGAAACAAACAAACAAAAAAACAGAAAATCAAACAAACAAAAAGCCCAAAAGCAAACCAAAAAAAGAAGACTGTTCACACATGGTAATCTATAAGTCAAGGCATTAGTTTTAGGGATCTGGAAAATAAAGACATGATTGTGTGTAAACCAAACCTTCACTTTAGGGTCCTTCTCTAGCTATTATTACCTTATTCATCCAGCTAGCCATTATTTTTTTGAGACAGGATCTCATGTTGAAGACAAGGTTTGTATGAAGCTCGTTACCTTCTATCCCAGACATCTCAGTGTAGGAATCAAAGGCCTGTACAGCTATATTTAAGTTGAGTGGTCTTCATTTCTACATGTACGCATAGTGTTTTTCTCTTCACACTTCACGCTTATAGCAATTTGATCTTTTTGTTCCTGATTTCTTTGTTTCTCAGGAAATACAAGCCATTTATTGCCTGAGTTCCTGAGAGTCCGGTGGTCATGCATGGAAATGAAAGGGACTGATAGACCACAGGGTGGCTACACTGGAAGGTGACATCATTGACTTCTAGATTTGGTACATGAAAGAGGAACATCTTAGAGCAAGTAGGGTATGAATGAGACAAGACTGATTTCATGACAACAGAAGGCAACACATGATTCTAGGTCTTGAGGCCATTGATGTGTACAAAATTACAGAAAAATGGACATTTTAACATGAAGGCTTTTGCATAAGGCAATGGTGTAAAGTAAACTCTAATAGTCTTTTCAGACCCTGAAACACTGCTAAAATCTCAAATAACAGTATAGAGTACTTGTATTTAACATGGCATAGTTAGAAGGCAACCCTTTCCCCTGAGCTCACAGCTCCTAATCAACAAAGTTTTGGAGTGAACAGAACTCTAAATACATAAACAATGTTCTATCTTTTTGTTTGTTAGTTTCTTCCAAAACTACTCTGTGATCTTTGGATGAAAAGCATTTTTCCTGTGGAACAGCCTGGAAGGTGAAGAATCAAGGCAAAGAGAAGGTTCTGAATTGGTTTGGGTAGATGAGCTAAATAAAGTTTTACAGATAGTGTTAGCCACAGAAAGAGCTTGAGCATTTATTTGGTAGATTCTGACCCTGCCTTTCTTGTTCTTGGCTGGGATCCTCTGCAATAGTTTTACTCTACTGAGTTGGGCAGCGGTTTACCAACAGCGATACCTCAGATACAAGAGGATGTATCACAGATAATTTAGAAAAACACCTTCTTCATATGGTTTATAACATTTTAGTAATCTATTGGTCATTAACATCCTATTCAGAAATGTTTTCATTTATAATAATTGGTAATTGCCATGCACAAGTCTAAGAGTTGTGTGAACACATATAGACCCTACTTCACATGGCGTCTATCAGTTCATGAAATTGGATAGGTAATATTACATAAAGGTTTGAAAAGATAAAAAGTTAAAAGTGGCATCTTTTTTTCACATGTGTTTGGGACACATAGAGATAAGAAGGTGCTGTGTGTGTGTGTATCTCCCTCTCTCTCTCTGTCTATATCGACTGCTCCATGAATAGCAGCATAAATAGGCACTCTTACCCCAGAATCTGAAGAATAAGTAGTTGAAGATTAAGGCACTAGTAGATCTGGTTCTTGGGATGACCATTCTCTGGCTTCATGGATACTCATCTTTTCACTTTTTACTGCTTCCTCATGTAGCAGAAATATAGACACAGAAGACAGATAGAGAGAGGGAGAGAGAGAGAGAGAGAGAGAGAGAGAGAGAGAGAGAGAGAGAGGACATGCCATGCATTCTTACTTTACATGGATGCTAGTCTCACCAAGGGAGCCCTACTTGCACCTAAGTATCTCTCAAAGGAGTCCCCAGCCTTCAAACACAATTTCATTGATTTGGGAAAGGGGTCACAAATTTTCAACCTACAGGATTTTACCCTGTCTTCCAATTCATGTCCTTTTCACATGCAAATATAATCATTCCACTTGAGCAGTTCCTTATATCTGATTTGTATTAACACTAATTTTATATTTTTTATTGAAAAGAGATTTTTTTCATATAATATATTCTGATTGCCATTTCTTTTACCTCAGCTTTCCCCAGATTCTTTCTATTTACCCACCCACCCAAATCTACACCTCTTTCTTCTCTCTCATCAGAATTTAAAGAAGCATTTAAAAAAAGATAAAATAAAACCAGATGAACCAGAATAGGAAAAAAAAAACAAAGAAAAATAGAAGTAAAAGTGCCCAAAGAAAAGCTCAAGGAACACATATAGATACAGAAACACAGAAACAGAGAAATGTTTACATACCCACACCCAGAAACCCCATAAAAACACAAAACCAGAAACCATAATGTATACTCAAAAGGCATGTGAGGCAAACAACAACAATAACAACAAAAGCTTTAATACAGCATTACAGAAAAGAACCTCCCCAAATGCCATTGTGTTCTTTTTTCCTTGGCCATATACTGCTAGGCACAGAGCCTAGCCTCAGAAATGGCTTGTGTCCCCAATGAGAATTTGTCGAGAAAGCTATTATTTCATTTGTGAGTGGCTACCAATTGGAAATAAGTTTTGGATTGAACATAGGGACTATTTTCCACTTCCACTTTCAGAAAGGGGATCCGTCTGACACAGACCTGTGCAATTGCTGTTCATGTTGTCACAGTCTCCGTGAGTTCATAGGTGTGTGGCTCCGTCTGCATTTTGAAGGCCTTTTTTGTCTTAGCATCCTCTTGCTCTCTGGCTCTTATAATGTTTCTAACTTCTCTTCCTCAAAGTTCCCTGAATCATAAGTAGTGACAGGAGTTGGGTAGCATTAGTTTTAAAGTTTCATCTCTCATCTAAATTTTGTCTATTTCAAACATGAAAGAATCAAATTACAGTTCATCTTGAAGCCCAATCCTGTGTAGCTATAATTTGTAGAACCAAATAAATTATATGCTTCTATGATATGATGTTGGGAGGCATAGGGTGGATGGGCATTCTCATTCCAAGAGGAAGAAAGTAATGAAGCAAGAGTGATAAGTCCCAAGCAAGTCGACACCTAAGAGGGCATACCAATAGTGATGGAGGGTCAAGAAAAATTGGCTTCAGTTTGAAAGCTCTGTTTTTTAGATAAGCAAAGACCTCTCCCCTTGGGTTCACTTAATGTCAGTTAATTGGTTGTGTAAGTCTGTTTGAGATCCAGATCCTGAGATCTAAAGATGTGATTTATTGGTGGCAATATATTTGCTGCCTGACAAATTTGGGTCTCCTGGTTGCATCATCATCTCCATGTTGTATGAATGCCTCCATGTATGTTCAGGATAAGCCCAGGGCTGCCTGTCCTTGGCACCCTGAGAATCTTACACAGTATGACAATTTTACTGTTCTTGTTGATACCTTCTCTCAAGCAACGTGCTAGACGCACATTTTTGAAGATTTGCAATTCATCTGCCTTCGTTCAGTGAGGTTTTTTTCTTTGTTTTGTCTGTTATATTTTGTTTGAATGTGTTGTACTAAGAAGATATTGTGCAGAGAAAGGAAAAGTAGACTTTGAAATAAACATAGTACAACAAACAGCTAATAGAGATTTTGATTGAGGGCCTCATGCAAACTGAGTTGGCCACAGAAAGCCGACAGCCTAGACCCGAAGGACGTTCAAGAACATCTGTAGGCTGCAGTCTTAGGAAGGCTTTGCCAGTCAGCATCTTTGTGAGCTCAGTGCCTCAGTTCTTAAAGATGACAGCTGTTTAAACACTCCATATACTTTTCTCCTTTCATTCAACTAATATATGAACAGCTGCTCTGGGATAGGGAAAGTGTTGAACACTTCAGTAGATACAAAGTTCAATCAGACCAACATCGACAGAACACAGTGCCTCCCACACAGAAAATTCAGATTTTGCTGTAGTGAAGCAGAAATGAAAGCCTGACGAAGATCGGAGTGCATGCTCAGCCCTGTGCTCTGATATTGTTGAAGGTGAACGGCTATTCTCAACACCCACTGTCCCTTGTTCTTGAGTAGACCATTCCATGAGAAGCAGTCTCCCCCAGCAAGCTGTTTCTCACTTTAAGAGAGGAAGACATGCCTTTGAGTCAGAGTATACACTGATTATAAATTTGTCTCTGAATGCTTTCAATCTCTCCTGCAGGGGTTATGACTATTTCTAGAGCAAGTGGATGTGAAAGTCACAGCACAAGCGCTTGGGCAGCCCCCCAGATTCACCTTGCTATCAAAGTACTAAACACAGATGTGGTTAATCACACTGGTAATTCTAAATCCACAAGTTTCCCCAGTTTTCTATAGAACTGTAATAGCTGGCTTATATTTTTTTTGTATGCCTAGGCTATTTTCTTTGAAGAGAAAAGTCTAACTTACGCCACTGTCTATCCCCAGTATAAAGTACTGGGGCATTTTGGTCATTTCTGCTGCATCTATATCACTAATGATGCGTCTCTGCTGTATCTTTTCTTTCAGAAATCACTGTGCTTTCGGCTTTGTGGACCTGTGAAGACATTCATTTCTCTTGTTATCTGTTGAATGATCAATCAGATGGGTGGAATATGTTATAGGAATTGGCAGCAAGTGTCCAATGGGTGAAGAAGGTAAGAAGGGCCAGCAGTACTGAGGGAGTCTCCGCTAACTATGCCTGTGAAGGTGGGAGTTATGTCTACCAGTTACAAGTGCTGATGTCTGGCTCGATCTGGAATTTCACTAACCCCGAAGTGGAATTTTAGAGGGAGAGAAATTTGTCTCTTTGTCTTTAAGAAGACAACTTTTCAATATTGTTTTGGTTGGGTTTTCTTTGTTGTGTATCTGTTAGGTGCCAATCTGCAGAGGACAAACTTTGATTGAATTTGATTGAATCTGGTATGGAAGAAAGGAGAAAAACTGAAGAGTAATTCTGCAAAGACGACATGTCCGGACAGACTGATTAAGATGATTGTTGTGCTGCATTGTTGTCCTATTTGTCTTTTGACAGAAATTCTTAAGATAAAAACAAGGTGGCTTCCATCCTGAAAAAAAGAGAAATAGAGAGAGAGAAGGAAAGAAGGGAGAGAGAGAGAGAGAGAGAGAGAGAGAGAGAGAGAGAGAGAGAGAATTAGCTAGAAGACTGCAATGTTTATTCCTCAAAAGCTCAAAAGCCAGGGCAGCTCAGTCATGAGCCAGGAGGTCTGATTTTAATGCTAGGTCCAGCTATGCTGTTGCTGTTCTCTGACTAAATGTTTTTAAGCTAACGAGATCTTTCTTGAGACAATACAGTGATTAGATTCTGAGTCTCTGACAGTTCTTAAGATTTATAAATTTCTATTTACCCTCATCCTATCTATTCAGTGGTGACTGACACCATGTCCACAGGCCATCCATGTTGGTTAGAAATTTGTGTTTCAGATATGGTCTCTCTTTGTAATCCCGGGTGACCTGAAGCTCACTGTGCAGACCAGGTTGGCCTCACACTCATGAAGATTCACCTCTGTCTTCTGAGTATTGGGACTGAAGATGTTCACCACCATGCCTGGATTCCAGATAGACAATAGAATTTTAATTCTTTTGCCATGACTCGTTACTTTCTGGGATTCTAGATCTATCTAACAAAATGTCTGTGTCCACTGTGGATACCTGCATATTCCAGGAGATATATGTGTACAGGCTAAATGCAAGTCACATAATTTCCTCTAATCCTTCACAGTTCAGTGGGAGAACAACTGCTTAGCCAGACTAGACACACAGGACATATCTCTGTGTCTCTCAGTCCTTATCTCTTACAGTAACTGATTCTAGTAGATTCCTACACGTACTAATTTCAATTACTCCTCAATGATTTTTTGTTCATTTATTCCAACTGACATTACCCAATGCAAGGGGAATTCTTCTCTAATATTAATGATCTTTTGGCCTCCCTAACTATCTTTCTTCATCAACTCCAGAAGTGTTCCATCTTCCATACACCTTGAGAAGTGTTTCTAAGTCCCTGTATTATGCTATTCTTCTGGTTCATCCCTTTAAAGACAAAGCTATGAATTAATTATCAGCTTCTTAAGGGACTTCCAGAATTCTTTAATAAGAAAGCCACCCTGACACTGGCCAGAGCGCATCCCTGCTACCCTTTCTTCACACCCACTCTTTGTTAGAAGCCTCCCCCCACCCAGGGGCTATCCATTAGGAAACAGACTCATTTCTCCCAAACAATAACATTTCTCCTCTTTTTTATTATACCTTAGCTTCGACCTCATTTTCCCTAAAAAGATTTGTTTGCTTGTTTGCTTTCATGTTTTATTCCCTAAGATCAAATCATCGTTGTTCCTCAGACAATCCTTGAGTGGCCAGGGATTACACCATGCGCAGTAATCTCACATCAGGTCACGATTGATTGTCAGTATACAAAAAACTTTTCTAGTCACTGTGATCAAACACCTCACAGGAGGGCAGACTTCCTTTGGCTGGCTCATTGTTTTGGGAAACGAGTTCACTGTGGTTGGGAGGGTGGAGTGTAGAACAGGTCCTTCACAGCAAAGATAGATGAGGTGGATTCATAGGAGAACGGGGGATTACTGAAATCAGCTAACTGGCAGTGCATGCTTGCACCGTATCAGAAGCACGCTGTCTTTAGAGGTATCACTCCCTTAATCCTCCCTTTGTGCAGCTGCTATTATTATTATTTAAAATTGTTAAATGAGAAACTCGACCTTCCAGAGGATAAGCTGCCCATGGCAGTATGCTGCACCTCTTTATCTTTTTAGTTTGCATCAATGGAACGTCTGACTTTTTCTATAGCTGTGCCTTTGGCCAACCTCCGTCTGCCTTTCCTCTGAATGTTCTGCTAGATTATGGGCAAAAACATTTCCTCCACATAAGGTCCTTCCTAGTTTAGTCCTCCAAAACTATTGTTTAAAAGACAGTCATCTAGCCACTGCATGTGCAATGTGTAAGCCTTTGGAGATTTTTCAGGATCGTTTTTTTTTTTTTTTTTTGTCTCTTATATTAATGAGAGTCTGTTTTGGGAGAGAATTTCCATTTGAGAAATCTTCAAACCCCCCCCCCCCCGCCCATGCTCTGGTTAACAGTTGATAGGGAAACAAAAATACAAACAAAACCACAGTGTGTGAAAGACTCAGCAGTGGAACCCAAGCTGCACCTCCCTGCCAAGCACAAACCTGACTGGGAAATCTCAAGGCTGGCATGGGCTGCTCTGCTGCTGGCATCTTCCATGTTCCTTTGCTCTGATGCCTGGTTCCGCAGGTGGCCCGCATTCCTCTGTGGTTATACCTGTGAATGCTGATCGTTTTGTTTTTGCCAAGGCTGATGGGCCTCTTCATTTTATCAGCCCTCTGAATTCTTCACTAGGGTGCACCAATGACCTTTTCTATTTTTCCAGATAGTGGGTGTATGAACAGGCAGCTTGTTTGTCCCGGCCACCCAGAACCCAAATAACCAAACAGAAACTATATTATTTAAAATATTGCTTGGCCCATTAGGTCTAACTTCTTATTGGCTAACTCTTACAACTTAATTTAACCCATTTCTAGTAATCTGTGTATCACCACATAACTGTGGCTTACTGGCAAGAATCCAACTGGTGTCTGTCTTTGATGGGGCTACAAGGCTTCTCCCTGACTCCACCTTCTTTCTCCTAGCATTCGATTCCATCTTCCCCACCTACCTACATTCTGCCCTACTATAGGTCCAAAGCAGTTTCTTTATTCATTAATGGGAATCACAGCATACAGAGGGAAATCTCACATCAAGTGGGGACAGGTTGTCTAAGATACTGATGAAGCAGTCAAAAGTGAAAATCTGCTAGATTTTTCTCCTCCTAGAGATTAAACACAGCCTTTTCTTTGGGACTTTCCATGACTCTTTTAATCCAAGGAGAGGAAGCAAAATATTCTTATGTTTCCAGAAAAATCACTGAAACCAAGCAGCCTGCTACTCTTAAGCTCCTAAAAAATTAAAACTCACCACCACCACCACAACAAAAAGCCATGACACAAATGGAGTAGACTCTTGGACTTTTCAGGGCAGAGTTCTGATTTTAAGGAAAGGACTTTTATGTCTCAGGGGAGAAAACAGATTGTCATAGCTCATCTTCTAGGAAGAACAAAACAAGACAAATAACGAGCTGGCCTCGACTTAGTGTCTCAACTTTGGTGGCTCAGATGAATCTAGAAGTGTGTCCATTGCTTTTCTACTGATTGCTAGTACGTGAGGATTTTAGCGTTTCTCGATCAGGGCCCTATGATTTGCCACACACACACACAGGTAGAGATGAAAATGACATTTTCCCTCGTGAAATGATGCTTGCATCCAAGGAGATCTGTGTGATGTACTCAGATTCAAGTGGCAAGGAGGGAGGAGAGACTTTCAGCGCGCAGTAGAGACGGGGAGGGGGGATGGGGGACAGAGGAACAGCTCTTAGATCAACCTCTTGGGAAATTCTCTGGAGCTTTCACTTCCACCCCAGCCTATGTGAATCTCAGGTAGTCATTGCAGCTCACCAGAGGAATTCCCCAGGCAGCTGCAGGATAGATGTCAGCCCTGCAACCCCGCTGGGTACTTAATAGAGCACTGGGGTCTGCACATGAGTGTTTAGGAGGAGCAAAAGGGAAATGTCCTCTCCAGAAGAGGGGTACAAGAGCACTGACACCCTGCTGAGCAAAAATCAGCAGGGATTTCAGGTCCCAGGTCACCCAATTATTTCTCATTTGCATAGAAGTCAATTCCAGAAAGCTGCTTGGAGGGCAGCTCACTTGTGCTGCCAAACCCACGGGCTCTGAATTGTCAGTGCCAGCTCCAAGTGCTGGCAGCCCGCTCCTGTGTCCTATGTGCCTGCTGGGGCTGTCGGTGAATGCACATTTCCTATTTCGGGATGTGGGCCATCGTGGAGAAGGAGGCCAGGTTTCTGTCTGGAGTCAGTGTCACTGGGATCAGAAACAGACACTTCATTCACTCGTGGACACCACATACTGCAGCTCTTTGCTATGTGCGATGTGACAGCCACTCCCCGATTCAAGGATCGATTGCACGATGCTCTTATGGGCTTGGTGAAGTGAATATCGAATATCTCATCCCTTGTTGAATGCCAGTCAAAAGGATGAGCTTACACCAAAGTGCAGGTGCTTTGTCTTGCTTTATTTAACTCACGACACATAAAAGGACCATTTTTCACAATAACCGAATGGTGTTTATTGACCATCCTTATAAGGCAGGATCAGTCTTACAAGGTTTGCAGTTATTAGTCTTGTTTGTTGTCACCAAAACTTTGACAGATGTCTTAGGGGCTCTGATAGATGAGGATGCTGAGGTCCACAGTAGCTAAAGCACTTGCAGAGAGCCTCATAACTGGCCTTGAATTGGTTGTATCACTGCTCCGCTGCACATCAGTATGGTATATCTCATTGTCATCAGTTTGCCTCTTCGAAGTCAATTGTGCCCTGCTTATCAGTCTCCATCAACTTGTGTGGGAGGAAGTTCGAGGGTAATACTTATTGCAATCATTTTTGTATAGTCATGTTTCAAAACTCCATCACAGATTTTAAAGTTACACAGTGGGTTTTAGCGCCAATATGGTTCTGGTGTGGGGAGGGGAGTTGTTATTCATCAACCA